AGATGCCATACAAAGACCCACAATCTTGATCATGCCGTTGTAGCCACGTGAGCTTTTCTTTGCCTACATCGGGTTTCTCACGTAACGCGGCACTGGAGATCCTATCTTTTGCAATGGCGTAGTGGAGTTGCTTCCCGGCAGCGGACGCCCATGCCTGCGCACGAAGCTTGTTGACGTGGTATTTGACCGCGTTTGTGGCAAAGATTGCTTTTGCTGTCGCAAACTGTGCAGGCGTCTCTGCCTGGTGGTCGATAACTCGTATCTTGGACTGCCGTTCCTCACGGCAGACGCAGCACTCAGACTGCCGGATAGCGCTTGGTCTCGCCTTTCTGGCCCACAATTGCTGACAGCTTCCGTTGTCACACTCCAGCTCTCGTCCATTCCAGCTTCCGGGTACTGCTGTATCGAAGCCGTGCAAAAAAAGCATGGTTCGTGTTTGACAAAGAACTGTTTCGAATTTCGTTTTGCGCCGTTTGCAACCACACATCTTTCGTGCGTTCGCACTCCACAAGTTGTGTGACGCCTTGGATGCCACTTTTCGACTCCCCCCACACCAGCTCTTGTCCATGGATTGTGTGGGCCACTTTCTTTGTCCTGCCTTGCGTCAACCATTCCCACGGAACTTCCCCCAAGAAGGTCCCTCGAGGTGGCGGCAATTGCCACAGGTCGCCGGCCAGGATAACATTCAAGCCGCCAAATGGCCTTGCGTTTGCCCGCTCCTTGGCGTACTTGCCTGGGGCCAGGTCGCGGACAAGCTCCCGGCAGCGTAATTCCAAACGTGCCAAGAGTTCTGCGCTGACCATGCTGATCTCATCAATGATCAACCATCGCAAACGCAACGCTTGGACACTCAAGTCCAGCAGCCTGTGCCCACTGATGCGTTCATCCCCTGTGCCTTGCCAATTCAATCCAAAGGCATGGTGAATGGTGTCCCCATTCAGATCGTTGGCCATGACCGCTTGCAAGGTCACTACTTGAAACTGGTCCCCTTGCTTCCACTGCAAAATATCTTCAAACAATTGTTGCCTTATCAGATTCAGCACATAAGACTTTCCTGTGCCAGGACCACCATGTACAGCCCAGCGCAACGGTTCTCCTACGTCAGGGCCTTCCACACCCATCTCTTGCGTAACTTGGCCGGCAACTTTGGCGCACAACTCCGCTTGTTTGGCGTTGCAACAACCGTGCGAAAGGCTGTTCGCCCACGATTCTACACATTGCATCCGGCGCGCTACGTCTACGATCTTCATTTCCACGTGAGGTTCCCACACGCGCGCCTGCTCGCGCACGGCTCCTGTTCTCCTCTTCCGGCGAGCGCTTTTGAGGAGGCTTGCACTGTCCAAGCCTTGGCCCGGGTTATAGTCTGACCTCGTTGTGCACTCCGGACACTCGTTGGCAGGCACGAAGATGCGTGATCGGCAAATCTGGGGGGGTAAATTACCCTCCGCTTTTGTATGCCTTGAGTCGGAAAGAGGGGTAAGCATTTCTGACATCATACGGACTGTACATACACTAGGGCGTCCGTAGTGTAGGAGAAGCATGGATAAAAGGTATATGGAATAGAGTGTCTTGAGGAAATAGCCGGCTTGTGGTTATTGCAAATCTGGGGGGTAAATTTACCCCCCGCTTATGTATGCCTTGAGCCGGAAAGAGGGGTAAGCATCACAAGGACTGTGCATACACTAGGGCGTCCGTAGTGTAGGATAAGCACTGGTAAAAGGTATCAAGAATAGAGAGTCTTGAGGAAATAGCCGGTGTATGGTTATAGCAATCCCTGTCCGGCTTCTGGTCTTCCGGCTCCTCCCCCCAAAAAAAAAGGGGTCGGCGGCACCAGGGCGGAGCCCTTATTATAATATTGCGCTGGAGGATGAATCTGCTTGGTTGCACCCATATTAACCGGCTCTGTCTGGTCTGGTCACGACCACAAGTGGCCTTCATCTATCTCTATATCCACCTCAGCGCATCTGATTTGTCCATTGCCAACAACAACATGTTGATTTCTGGTATTGAAAATAGTATGTTTTCTGTTTGGTACCTGTTATAGAATCTATATATCAGAAAACGGACGGGCTTTAACCTGACACGTTGGACATCCCATTCTATAGCATCTCCATAGGCCCCACCTCCATCTCCCATCACCGGCCTCTGGGGACGCCTTCTGCAGGCACGGCCCGGGCGTTCCGAAGCCGGCAGCGTCAATCATGACGTAGCCGGGCTTCTCGCCCGCGCCCGAGTCGCCTTGAGAGACATCCAGCTCCACCCAGAAGCCGCCGGTAGGGCCCTTCCTCAGAAAGCCGGATTGTTGCGAACGGAAGCAAGGACCGTAAGCATAAAGAGATCGCACGGGCACCGCACACAGCACGAAACACACCCACGGGCACGCGGCCCAGATTTGATCTAACTGGAACCTACAGGGGTGCTCGTGCCTTTTTGAGGGTTGGAATTTTGATTGCTGCTCGGCCTCACGTGTACAGTAGCATGCTTGGGGCTCAAGAGTGATCAGTGAAAATGTGACCACACCTATGTAAAGGCCAAGCCTGCAAGAAAGAGTATGAAAAGTTGCGAGGCACGATGCTTACGTTGCAAAGATGACATATTACAATCACATCTTCAACATGGCGCGCGTGAACCTCTTCAACATGCTTCAAGCAAAGCGTCCAGATCTTCCCGGTGGTGTGCACAATCGCACCAACCTTCCGATTCAGCTGCACAATCTTCTGGGTCTCAGGGTCAGTCCCTGCTTTCCTGAAGCTGTCATGGTCTTTTCTCACCCGGTCTTGGACATTCTGGCAGGTGTTCCAAAAGTGAGAGATGAAGCTCCAGGTCTAGTTTGGGACTGTCTTCTTGCTTTAATACTATGGCCTGGCCCAAAACCCGCCATACCTCAATTATTAGCTCCTTGTTGAGCAAGTTGTTCTTTTCGGGGAGAGATGGGGGGCGCTCATGCTGAAGCCAAAAGTAACCATCCAAGAAGTTCTCTCTATAGACGACCTGACAGTATCCCTACACTACCAGTATCTTGCTTGTGGGCTCTTCTTTTGGAACCACGAATTGATATTAACCCTTTGAGATTCCGGAAGGCTACAGCAAACTCTGTTGTGGATACGTATTCTTGGTTTCTGGTAATAGCTGTCAGACTCTAAGAGGTCATGTCCTTGATGGGACACACAAGAAAACACAAACATATATACTGCATGTCTTTTTGTTGTATAAGTCCAGCTATGTGGGGCACAATAGTCGCCTCTCAACAATTCCACGGCCAAAGGGGCTTGAAGATTGGCCCTAAAGTCACGAAGTAGTCCCCGTCTCGGAGCTCCTCATCGCGCCCGAGAGGAACTGCTCTGGGATCAACGCATCTGCTGATGCCCTTGTTCAAAGAAGTTCAAAGATGTTCACCCCATACATGTGAATAGTGGATGTCACATCTTGTTCTTCATGCGTCGGTACATGTTAGGGTTCAACTTGAGATTGAATGCCTGCCTATCCAACCTAATGTTTTTACTAGTCCCAGTGGTCGGAACCATTCCATTAGGATCCATATCTCCTTGGACTTGGCAGTCTCGGGCTCCGTTGCAGGGCTATCTTTGCGGATGAGCAGCGCCTGCACTGGAGCTCTGAGGAGACTGGGCCCAGCTGCATAGCTTGAACACCAGGCAACAAATTGTTTGGGACCTGTCCACTCTGCCCTACACTGATCCAAATATCGTGAAGTGAAGGGGAAAACAAAAGCCGCATGTGTTCTGCTGAGAACACTGCATGTATCAGCTGCATGAGCATTTACCACGAGCATTTACCACGCACTGAAGCAAGCCGCCGAGCCTTATCTTTGAGGGTCACACTCACCCAACCACTGGCAGGTCCTTGACCGGTGACCAACTTGTAATGCAGCCGTTCACCTGCCAACTCCAACTCCTCAACAATGGCACCAGTACTAAGTCGCTCCGGCAATTGCTCCTGAGGGCGTTGAAACAAGACAAATCGGTGGGGAATGACTTTGATCTATAACTTGGGTGTGTGTGTGTGTGTGTGCGTTCCTGTTCCTGACGCGAAATCTGAAATCATGATTCAACCCATTTGACCTTCTCTCAAGCCATCATAGCAACTGATTGACCTGGTCACATGTCAATCTGAGCCCAAGGTTCACTCGAGGTGCCTTGCCCTGCACGCACTAAGATGCCGCCCTTGTCTCCACCGCCCACCACCTCCCACATGGGCTGCGCCGCTGCACGTCCCAAGCAAAAGAAAGAAGCTAAGAACTACTGCTACCCTCTGGGGTTCCAAAGCCCAAAGAACGTTACATGTCAAGTGGCTCGTGTCAGAGGTTAAACAGGTCACCTGCTTGAGAAGGAGAGCTTGCAAGACGTTTGCTCTCTGAGAAGATCATAGAATCATAGGCCCTTAGGCTATTGCTGCGAGTGTTTGCAAATGTGCTTGGAATCAAAACTGTAGCGTTTGGCTTGAACAAGCAGTGCAAAGTCACCAGTGAGAATCATGCACTCCAGTATCTTTGGTCCATCTGACGCATGGGGTGGTCATTTGGTGTGGATCTGATTCAATCACATTTAATCTGATGAATCAGAGCAACAAGTGTATCACCTGCAAGCCATGCACTGGTCAGCTATCAACCAGAATGACCTTTTCTCACAATCTCCCGTGTAACATGGCCCGCTTCTAGTGCCGCAGGCAACCAAGTAGCTTCATGCTCGGTCAAAGACGCAGAAGGTCTCCAGGTGATCCTGCGGCAGAGTCAACAGCCAAATCTAGATGTTTTTGGGCAAACTAAGCAAACAAGCAATGCGTGGACTTCAGCGTTTTGGTGTTTTCCACATCTTCACTCATTGCTGTGTGGTCGCCACCAGCGAGGTTGGAATCAATCCGTTCGAACTCTCTGCTCGGTGGATCGAGAAACAAAGACAAACTCCACCCCTTGAGTCAGCCAGGGAATCTGCTCAGGCCGCCCTCTGATAAAGTAAGACTGAAGGGAATCGTTTTTTCTAGCTGTTTGGTGGGCACTGTCACTATACTCAAGTTAAGGTGTAGGGCTGTGCCTGTACCCAGCATCCCCATGTAGCTTTCGCCAAGGATTTCAAGCCAGGCAGGCGGTCCGCACCAGGGAAGAGGATGAAGCCCTCTGCATGGTGGACCTAGATCAAAGAAGGAAGGCCTTCAGCTTGTTCAAACTGCTCATGCAAAGATCCACAACAAAAGGGCTGAAAAAGCTTTGGAACCTGTTTGTTGGAATGTTGGGTGAGTTTACATGTGGTGAATCGATCCAAATTGTTCAGCATTCCCTAAGTTGCCACAAGTTCACACCTCACTTCACCCATTTGCTGTTTCGCTGTAAACACCACGAACTCACGAAAGAACTCCTTGTTCCACCAGGCCAAAAGGTTGATGTCAGGATCAGCACAGCTGTCACCATCAACAGCTCTCAGTGAAGAACCTAGCGGCCTACAGCCTCGCAGGGCCCCACACCGTCCATCCTGCATCTATCAACTTTTGGCAGTCACGCTGGAAGGCGGGGAAGCCGCAGCTGACCTGTGTGGGGAGAAGATACAGTGAGACATGCAACTTTGGTGTAGTAATTATAGATGATGAATGCGTCTTTTATATACATCTGACAAAATAATGCTGTTCCGAATCATCTTCCGTCCTCCCCCCCAAGCTCTCTGTGAGATGAATTGCCAACTCATCGTCCTTCTGCTCATGCGAAAAGAAACAACAACAAAGTAGAATTGTATTTATATGTATTTATATATATATATTGTTTGTTTGTGCGAAACACCGGAAACACACCGGGCTTGTAGGTCAAAAACAAGCCCGTTCACCTCCCAGATCTAAGGGTTTTTCACAGAGCCCTAAGGATGCATGCACTAGTGTTCATCGCCTGAAGTCTCAAAGCGACCAAATGATCATATATGATATGTGATCATAATCATATTATCTAAGACTGCTGCATAAATGAGCCGCTGCTGTTTCTTCTTTCTCGACCTCGTGACAATTACAACTTGGAAAGTGCTGACAAGTTTGTCGTCGAGCCCATTCAAGGTAAGAATTGTATTCAAAGTCTTGATGTTCAGGTCCCGTTCGTTTGCATTGGCTGCTGTCCAACAGGATGATTCTCTTATTGACTGACGTTGGCTGCTCTCCACAAACCAGGTCCCAAGCCGACAGAGGGCTTGGAGAACAGCCTCGTCCAACCCCCTCGGCTGGGATGTTCTGTCTGGAGATCTCTGAATTAAGTGGATCCAATTCCTACTAGTCAATTCGTCAATTACTTGACTCTATTGGAAGGCGCACTTGACTCTATCCAAGTCGGTTGCAAGGCTCACTTTACTTTTGTAGATTGGACAGTGATGAAGTTACCCAAGAAGAGCCACTTGAGTGTCCAACTTTCTGGGCGGGTCCACAATCACCACATCAGCTGTAGGGACGCTCTTGACCTGACCAAGATAGCCAGATCATCGAAAATAAATGAAACATGTATTACAACTGGGCCACAAACTAGGGCTATATCATCTGCGTGAGTCGCTCATGCTCTCACCATGTCAAATGCCTCGTGACCGGGTCACGAATGGAAGCATTGACTTTCATTCCAAACCCTTAAAAACGCAACAGTTGCTAAATGCCTCATTGCATCGACAACCGAAATGTCAAATCATCGGAACTGGTTGGATATCATTGGATATCTCCTGTTTGGAAAGCACCGGTTTGACCCGCTCTGATTTGAGCCTGTGAAGCGGCATCACCCTGGACGTAGCTCAAGTGTGGCCTGACAGCGCCAAGAGTGACATGTCTTGGAGCGCCACGACGATCCGCTAGTCTTATTGCAGGCTTAATGACACTACCACAGTCTTAAAAAGGGCATCTTGCTTTACCGGTGCGAAGAGAAATTTGAATGCAAAACGATGTGAGCAAAGGCGCTCACAAACAGAAAACTGATCAGACCTACAAAAGTCCATTCTGAGTGCTGATGCATGCTTGGCCAATCTCAAAGGCGTCTTTCTCATTTTCCTTTACCCCATCAGCTTCACCCCGCTGTGCTAGCCGAACTCTGAAGTTCGCAAAACCTCGCCATTCTGCCAAAACAAGGTCAAGTTAGCTGTGACAAAGTGAGACACGTTTATTGAACTTTTGAATTGTCGCCTGTGCGCAATGAGAGTCGCCGTGCGAACTGGAGGTCTTGCCGTTGCCCCGTCTGCAACACCCAAGGGGGTTGCACTCACACTGTCAGGCCTCAACGAAGCCCTACAAGCCAATGTTGGCATCAAGAGCGCAGTGGGATGTCTTCCACTCTAAAGGTTGAGACAAACATCATCAAACATCTATATTGTATATAACCGCTCTGACCCAAATTTAGCGTTGGTAGGAAATGAAGGCATACAACAGAGAAAAGGAAAGAAACACTCCCCCCTGATGCACTCATGTTTGCCTTTCTGAGCTGAAGGAAGCCTTGCAACATCACGGGAGCATTCTGGAGACAGCGCTCTTCAATGCAAAAAGAATTAAGGACCTCCGATCATGATCCTAAGGAGAATATCAAATGATTGACTATGTTTCAGGAACTCTCCCACCAATCACCGCTGGTTGGGAACTAGTCAACTTAGAACCCCAGCATGCAATCTGGAGATCCCTCCCATGATGTAGTTGCCAGCGATCTGTTGACCAGCCAGCTATTGTAGCATTAAACTCACCGGATTTTCACCCTCTGATGCAACCAAAGCCAAAGTTTCCACAGTTGGACTGCAGGACCATGGAATATGCTTTGCACATCCGGCTCAGTTGAAACCCTAGCTTCAAGCCCTCGAGTAGCTACCAATCAGCAATTATAATCAACTGGATCGTATGATACATGAGCTTTGCCCCTTGTCGAACAAGTCATGAGCAAACCTGCTGTCGAAAGGCCAGGACCATTGCTCAAATACTGTAACTACATGTAATTACAGTAGTTCTTCCAGCAGCATGTCTTAGAATCAGCCCGGACCCGAGGACTTGGAGAAATCCCTCTCGAGGATGTGGGGCTCTGGATCATCTCAAAGTTCCGGCCATCAGTGTGCCTGCTTTACGGTGATGATGACAAGCCCCCGCCAAGAAATCAGTTTGGGAAGGTGATCTCAGGAGCCACACATGACCAATTGAATTCCGTGCTGCAAACGAAGCCATTGCAAGAGCAATGAAGTTTTACCAGCGAACAAGGCGGACGAAGCGCTCTCAAATGTTTTGATGCATGACATCAATCTGAACAAAGGATTGATTCTATGACCTATCCCAATGCTCCCACCGCTCAGCAATAGCACCACCAAAATGATGTCAGAAATGATGCCAGCATAGGCAGCGCAAGGACCCAGTTCCTCGCGGCTGTGCCATGGGGGGCCGTGAAAGCTGGTGAAAGCTGAAGTCTATCCAGCCCCCGGAGCCCCCCCATCGAATACAAGCCAGGCGAAAGAAGCCAAAAGCCGTGGCTTGGACGAAGGATGATGAACTATGAGTCTATGACGAACTCTGAATCGGCTGAGACATCCAGTGACTCATCCAGCTTCTCAAATCTCCTCAGAAGCTTGGCCTTCTCCAAGTCCTCTTCCGCAGCCTCAATCGTCTGCGCCATTGCCTCGGCTGCTCGCTGGCGCCTCCAGGCGGCGGCGTCGGCCTGACGGAAACAGCAGTTCATCAGTCACATCAGAGTCTCTGGATGTCTCTCCTTCTCCACACCTGATGATTGAGAGGTCATTTTTCAGCGTCCCCTTGCCCCTACTCGAAAATCATCAAAGCAACGACTGCTAATTACATCTTATTACCGTCAAACAAATTGAATCTGTAGCACAAGTCCGAGCAAAGTCCCTTGCAAACCCCACACCGCTGGCTTTAGCTTTGAGCCTCGCGTCTCCACTCCTCCGCTTTGAAGTGCCAAAAATCTGCATCTTGCTCCAACCGGCTGGCCTCACCCGGCGAAAAAGGGCATGTCTTCCACTTACAGGCTTCCCATGGCTTCCCCGGTTCGGTTTGTCCCTACACTGATGCTACATCGCACGGGAGACAGACTGTCACATGCACGAGAATGTTTCAAGGGCTCATTTGCAAGTTGCACTAGAAAAATGGTGCCCCCCTTTCCAGGTCTCAACCCGCTTGGAGACAATGGAGAGGCAACTCTGTGCCTTTCTTTGACCCCGCGAGACACATCCCCATGAGCCATCTCTTTTTCCTCTGACGTGCCCAACGAATCCCTGTGAAATGCTTGGCACTTTCTGCTTCGCAGCTACATGAGAATGCCTCTGACCACCTCAAAGCGATCCAAATACTCGCAAAGAGTTTCCACCTTGTCGGTATGCAGTTCATGCGTGAGCTTCGACCAGTCTTTAGGGATACCATACAGCTTCTCAGATGAGCGATATGCCAATCGGCAAGTGCTGCTCTTGATGCCTGTGCGCTGGCCCTTTGTCACCTCGTCGAACTCCACAGCAGTCAATACCGCCAAAGTCTCGTATTGGAAGAATCTCACCTCAGACTCTTTGAGCTCTCCCCTTTTCATGTCCTCGTAGAACTACCAAGGAACTAGGAAATTGATATATTTACAGTTGGTCAAATTCATTCAAATTCCGCAGCCACCTGCAAAGATTGCAAACACCTATAGGGCTTTATTGCTGCTGCCTACTTGAATGTCAAGGAGCAAAGTCAAGGCACAGACCTGGGGTCTGGAAAACGGTGCCTCCGAAAAGCGCGGCATACATCGGCATCCGAAACCGTCCAGTTCGGACCATCCCTGACAGTCTCTGGTGCCGAAGATGGCTGGTTCCCATTCGACTCACAGTAAGTGTGAAAGATGAAAGATGCAAAACATCTGGCAAAATGAAAGGAGATGGAATTGCCATCTCGTTGGTGGATTGGGCCAAACTCATTTCACACCGTTGTATTGCTTGTTGGCAACCTTTTTCTTAGAGAAACTGCATTCGACGCAGCCGATGCGTGGCTTGCCTGGGAAAAGGGTGATGCCATGCTCTCTCCAGCGCTGGCCACACCAGAAATGAATGCTTTCCTGTGCTGTGTCTTGAGCACCCACTCCGTCCCAAACTTGCAACAGTCCAGGGGGAGTATGTTCGTTCAATTCGTTCAATGCATATGAGACTTCGAGGAATCAATTTAAAAAAAAAAAAAAAAACATAACAATAATAATAATAAAATAATAATATAAAATCTCACACACTATCGTGCTGATGTTTAGAGGCGAGAATCTTTATCCTTCCTCACAGCATTATTCGCGTACTTCTGATGCAGCTCTTCAATAATGTCGTCACCATCGCACGTGACATTGTAGCCTTTGGTTCGATCCGCCTTTTGTGCGTTGAAGAGTGAGTCATCAGGATACAAAATGCATCCTGAGCAATGGAGGAAGAAAATCCCCCTCTGAGCAAGTGGCCTGCCAAAAAGTGTTTGCGTCCATTGGGGGGGGTTCTCTTAGAAGCATCAATGCTCATCCAGCTAACAAAGGCAAGAAATGAGTTGGGGGGGGTACAAACCAACTAACTAACTATATAACTAACAAACAAACAAACAAACAAACTAACTAACTAACTAACTAACCAAACGAACTAAACTAACGAAATGAACCAAACGAACCAAACTCACTAAACTCACTAAACTAACTAAACTAATTAAACTAACCAGACTAACTAAACTAACTAAACAAACTAAACTAAACTAAACTAATCTAAACTAAACAACTAACTAACTAACTAACTAACTAACTAAACAAACAAAGAAACAAACAAACAAACAAACAAACAAACAAACAACAAACTAACAAAGAAGTTAACTGACTGACTGACTGGCTGGCTGACTGACTGACTAACTAGCTAACGAACGAACGAACCAACCAACCAACCAGCTAAAGAAAGAAAACAGGAAATGAAAGGTGCCAGTTGGGTGGAAAGCGTCTGTCTTTTGACTTTGAGATTGGTTCAATCACACCGCCAACTGTCAGAGGCCAAGCATAGCTGGAATTCCCACTTGCTTCTGGGCCTGCCACATGAATCAGTGGAAACCATATGCAGGTGACCATGTACCTTAGTCCGCCAGAAAAGCCCAGCAGCTGTCCAGCTGTGATATACATCAAGCGATTCATTCCCAAACACCACCATCCCAAGATGCTCAAAGTAGAACTCCTCCTTCGAAAACATCTCTTTGCCTCAGAAAGGTTAATGATGTTTGTGTGAGACATAGACTCCTTGACCTGACTCAGCCTAACTCACTGTTTTTTCGGGTATGCCGGTATGCCTCAAACTTGTAAAACAACAAGCAACTGAATTCTTTTGGACGATTCCCACAAGCTGCCAAAACGTCCTCCGACAATGACAATCTCTGAAAAATCCCACAATGCACAACTAGTTGTTCCAAATTGTTCCCGCACCAGGCACAGGTATCTTGACTTCACGCAAGTATGTTATTGTATTCCCATTCACCATGAAAAAAAGAACGTTTCAGAATGTTTCAGAAACATTTCAAAGAAGTCGCAAACTGAAGAGAATTACTTGCTTTAGTCCAGCGTCAATGTGAAAATCGACCGACACCGAGGGCTCAGAATCTCGCACCAAGCCACAGGTCTCTGACTTTGCGGGCAATAGAAGAGGGCTGTTGAGCACTTCCTGAGCACAAATAAGCACTTTGCCGGGGCATCGACCGCCAAAGAAGGTGCCTTTCACACCGGCCATGGGCTCCATGACTCCATGCAGGAAAAAGCATTCGCACACAACTCAAAGGCCAAAGGGAGTTGTTTGACACACGTCGAATGTCAATTTCAGATTGTTGCAATGGAAAATATGGAATCATCGAAGCATGTCCAAACACTTCTGCACTTGGTACCCTAAAAGTCCAAGTCTCCAATGTCCGTTGCTTGAGATCATCCGGAGATGTGCGTTTCCTGACTCGCGAAACCGATGGTCGACCCTTGCATCGAAAAGAACCAAATGACAGCGGCAACTAGACTATGAGCCTTTCCAAGGTCCAAGACAATTTTTACCAGCGTTAGGTGCGCTACATTTCAGCAGGGTCAGGGGAAGTCAAAGCGAGTGGAACTGCAAACCACACCAGAGTTATTCCTTTGAAAAGTCATCAACAATGGTTCCAGCAATAGGCCTGCACGAAACATTGGGCATATCACATGTGTTTGACCACGGTGGTGAGCTCACCTGCTGTCTATTGTTTTCTCACCTACATAAATGGCCAAAGCTACCAACATGTAGTTGCTAACCACCTCCACGTTTATCATTACTAGCCACCTCCACTGCTGGATCCATTGGAGTCCTGGGCCCCCCGCAAGACCCTCGACAGCCCAGTTTCAACAACAGCAGCTCGGGAAGCAACATCCGCGCCATGCGCTGTGCCTAGCATTGTCCAAGCACGTCCCAAGTTTGCAGCTGTCTCTGATTTGCGAAGACTGTCTACTTGTCTTCACCACACTGGAGAGTCTCTTTGCAACGGCCATACCTTTCTTCCTCAAGAGATCTCAGGGGGGAACCCACCTGAGAAGAGAGGGGACAAAAGCCGGCCATTGTAGACACTGAGAACTACGTGTTGCGTCAAGAAGTTCCAAGAAGCGATGTGACCGCCACAAGAACCCAAAAGGGCAGCAACAAACCTGTTCCTTGAGGTCTGCTTGGGAAAACTTGTTGTTGAAAACCTACCTGGATGTATTTTTCTCCCTTCCGGTAAGATAAAAAACACGAACGAAAAAGACATCCCCATAAACTGCCTTCGTCCTTGCGCCCCTCTTACATCGTGCTCTACGCATACCTTCTCCGCTGCAAGAAGGCAATGCGCCAGCTTGCAGAATTCCGTCCACGCTAGGCTTGCCAAGATAAATTATCTTTACAGCAGAGCAAACATAGTCTTTCAACGTATTTTCTTTACAGTTGCTTGGGGAGACCCAGCTAGATCCCAGAAGATAGCGCTCCATTGCTGGCGCCTCTATTCTTCCACAAACCTTTGACAAAGCGATGAAAAAGGGCACCACCACATATGGCCTTTCGTTGGGTCCTTTGGCAACGGTGCGTTTCGGCCCACCCTCTCTTGCACCGCTCCAGATGGTGCTCAATGCGTTCACTGTTCACTGCTGCTAGAACGAAACACGCCTGCTTGTTTCTTTGCTGATACCACACATTCCCTTCTTCGTTGAGGTCTTTTTGCCTGCTTGCAGGTTGCCGTTTTTACAGCTGACCGCTTCCATGTTTTTGCTGGGGGAGAACCATATACATGGCCACTTGGATGCACGATTGAACCTCTTTGCCATCACTCGCATCACCAAGGCCCTTATAGAGGTGCATTTTGGACACCCCCTTTTGCTCGCTCTCCCACAGCAGGCTCTTGAATCACCCCCTCTAGTCTCGAGGTTGTATGTCGCTAATTATGTATGATATATGTTTTCATTACTATATACAGTAATTAGCCAGGAGTTCTTCCATGAGTCTGCAAAGAATCCCATCCGGGTACCGCCTCGCCTTGGTCATCAGCGTCGTTTGGAACTTTTGAGCGTGTCGACTTTCCTGTGCCGAGCGGTACCTCAGAGTTCGCAAGCTTGCCTCGACTTACCTGATATGTTGTTTTTCCAAGAAAAATGTTTTGAAACCTGTTTGGTTGGAAAAGTATAGTCAGCATGGGTCATAATCTCAATGCATGCTTGTGCAAGTTGCCTCCGCCTCAGCAGGTGTGCACTTTCCGGCTAAGTGAGGCCAAGGCTCATGTGAGACAAGACCAGTATATACCTCAGTTTAAAGGGCAATCTGTGTGGTGGCCCGACTTCTTGATATGCTGTCACACAAAAGGACAGATTCTTGGAAATCCATTAGCATCCAGCTCTGCGGTGCTCGACAGAATCAGATTCTGTAGAAGAGTAGAAGAGTGTGTTTAAGGCAGCTCTCAGGATCCTTAATACTTCTGTTGCCATCTGCAACAAATGTGGAGTCTGATACTGCAGTGCATCTAGCAGTGTGTCTGTTGCAGCAATTGTTTCAAGTTCACTGTACTTCGGTCATGATTCATGAGCGCCGGCATCCTGTCATCGATGATGTGAAGGTATAATTGTAAATACCATATGTCTACAAAATGAGTTGGTGATATCTGATATCTCTCAAGTATCTGTATAAGACTTGTGCATCACCTCTGCCAGACCTCAAACAACCTCTATATATATATATATTCCCTTCCTTGGAACCTGTTGAAGTATGTTGAAACGCGGCGTCTTTCATTTTGCCAAAAGGCATCTCCAGTTGAGTCTTCAGCAGTCGTGCGAAGTCAGCCCGGTCCTGCCACAACACTCTTGGCCCGGAAACTGCCCTGGAGGCCCCGCGGTCAAGACAAGTTGGAATCGGATTATCTTATGGTGCACTGTGGACCCTGACCAATGCTCACGCGTTTAGGAAGAGAGAACAAAGTAATTCATGTCATTATTGTTGTAGAACAATAGCTTGGACTTAGCTTGGGTGGAATTATGTTGGATCCTAAAACGTAAAAATAATGCAATGGCGATCTGTCTGATTGCGTGAGTCTTCACCTTCTGGCAAGGCTGCAAAAAAGACCAAACAAAAATACAAAGCTGTTTCCTGCACGTTCACCATGGAACTCGTTGGCCGAAGCATTTCCTGGAGCTGTTCGTTGGCGACATTGATTCTGATGGTGCTGGAACAATCCCAAGCTTCTAGGTGGTGAACTGGATTCTGGAGATCTTACCAAAATCAATAACCCCACTGCCTAACACTGGTTGGTGCCTAGGCATCCCATGGCCTAGGCTAAAAGTTTGGGGGGGAAGTCCCACCAGCACCATGATGTGTCTGCCACAAAATGATACAAAACGTGTGTAGCTCTCTGTCTGCAGCCTGAAGTCCAGGAACTCATGCTATATAGTATGGCAGGGGCATCCTGCATCCCCCATTTGTACCGAAAGTTCTTTCAAGTGTCGGCACTATCTATTCCGAAAAGGCCTAAACGATGGCACTGGAGTTTTGTCTACGCCAAAAATGGCTTTGCTTCGAAGCATCTGAGCTTGTGGAGAGATCCTGCTCAATGATCGCCCAACGGTTAAAGCTACTGGCATGTGCCATCGCAGCAGCAAATTTGGCTGAGTCTTTGCTGGTTGCAGAATGCCTGCCATGGTGAGATCATGTTTCTCGCATCAACAAAGAAGAGATCAATGCCTGATATGCCTGCTTTCTACACTTGTACAAGGGCCACCTGCACTGTGTAAGAGAAAATCACACAAACAACTTTTGAGTTTCTGGTCGTCACCCTGTCTGATTCTTTCATTCCATTCTGTCCTCCAAGAGAGCATGTTCATCCGCTAATAGCTATGATAATCCAATGCTTGCAAATGAGCTACCCGAGGTCTTCCAGCCCCGGCGGAACAACAAAAAGTACATGATACTCACTGATATTTGTGTCATCTACAACCTTGGGAACTCCAAACCCACCTCAACTGTCCAACCACAACAACAGCAGAAGCAGCATCATCATCATCAACAACAGCAACAACAACATGCGGGGCTAAAAATGGTTTAGTCAAAGGGACTCCAACTTGACCAGCTAAGGTGCTCTAGGATGTCGCTCCATAAAGCATCTAGGATCGACATCTCTTGCACCTGCACGAGCCGAAACTTTCTCAGACTGCCAGGGCCTTATTAGAGGGGTCCTTACCTTCTTATCTTATTTTCTTGTCTCGTGACAACTGATCTGTTGCGGGTGTCCAACCCGAGGGAACACAAGAATAGAATCTACATGCGGTTTTCATCTGCGCTCCAAATCCCTTTTCATCATGATATTCAACTCAAAATATAAACATGCCCACTCAAACTTGAACTGCTGTTTGGATATGTACATATATATATATATATATGGATCAGTCTGGGTTGGATCTGTCTGCCTGTTCTTCCGCTGCTCTTGCTTGCGCGGTCCCCAGTCTTAAGAGCTCCTCCGTGAGCATCGCTTGCATCTTGGCCTGGAAGCTTCAACGTTCACTCGGCTGCGGAAGTCCCGGCTTCAATGGGGAAGTCCTTCGGCTTATGAAGCATTCCAACTTGGTGGCAGGGTCAGATGGAGAGGCTGGGGAAAAAAAACTGGCAAGAGACCCCACACAGTGTGTCTAAAGGTCTACCGTATAGAGGTGCAAAAGCACAAGGTCTAGAGATCTACACGCATTGGGTTCCAGAAAGAAGTGATGGTGGTGATGAAGGTGGTGATCGTGGTGATGGTGATGATGATGGAGGTGATGGTGATGATGGTGATGATGGTGATGGTGATGGCGGTGAGGTGGTGGTGTTGATAAAGGTGGTGATGATGGTGGTGATGGTAGTGGTGGTGATCATGGCGGCGGTGATGATGACGTTGATGGTGGTGGTGGTGAGGATAGAGACGTCTGAGCACGCATGACACATGTGAGCCTGCCACGAAATCTGCACCTCAAGGCCACAAAAGTGCTGCGCCTGCCGCGAAATCTACACCTCAAGAACATCAAGAAAGCCAACTTCTCTTGAGACTCCCTCCAAGTTGCTCAAAATGAGCCACATGTCCAAAAGTCACGACTCACTGCACCTGCCACGAAATCAGAGCACCGTGGACTGCGCCTGCCACGAAATCTGCACATCGACATCAACATAAAACCGCCCCGAGCTCCTGCACCTGTCACAAAATCGCCTTTGGACCACCAAAACACGAGGTTTCCACCAAGCCCCGCGCGGCACCACAACGAGATGCGCAGTCTCGAAGTCCCCGCTCGGCCCCACCAGATCCTGCGAGCCTGCGCGGTCGTGAATGAATTTACTGTAAATAGCAGCGAATTAGCCAGGCACGCCGAACCCGTCTGACCATTACCGTAAGAACCCCTAGGCCCTAGTGTTACCACACTGTTTGGGGAATTTCATCTAACCAAGGTGGTCTGTGCGAATCTACGCTTGTGGAATTGATTGCGGGTTTTTCATGAAAGCCCTTGGCAAAGATCTGCTGATTGCTTCGGCCAAGTTTCATCCATCTTCTTCTCGAGGGCATCCAGCTGATTTTCTACCTGGACAAGAGACTAGGCTGCTTTGCAACCACATGTTAGATATGTGCCAGTCAGGTGGTGCTTCGTTCATGCTGTTTCTCATTCACAACCGATCCCTCCTAACTGCGAGGATTAGGGCCAAAAAAGACACTCTGAGAGGCGTCCTGGATCTAGAACTAAAAGCTGACATCAGAGACAGAATATCCATCCTGTCTGCACGGTAAACATGGGTAAGTAAGCAATGGTAAGCATGGGTAAACATTATTATCTCCAAGGATTCTCAGCTTCTTCCCGGGGCCACTCTCCCTGAAGAGCTCACAGTTGCCTTCGTCGCAATCTCCTATCCAAGCTCTATCTCAACGGGCCATAGGTATCCATAGGTGAGAATGATCTTGAGAAAACGAGCGCCTCCTTGCTCAGCCTTGCCAAAGCCAGGTCTGCTGCCTTGTGGATCAGCAGCCCCAGCGGCGGGAGCAGTGGCAGGAATATGGCTGAGACCTTGGCGGCAGTGCTTTCAGCCGTTCGGCTGATCCAACTTCAAGGGTGGAGCTGGGCAGGGGGGCATGCCCACCGGCCATTGCTTCAATTGTTTTTTAGTGTACTGTTTTGACCCTCGTCACGTCGTGATTCTCCTCATGCAGAGTTCATCCAATTTCTCAACTCTGGGGGCCATCCGGTTCACTTTCCTCATCTCGGCTTAATGTCAACCCCTTCCTAGGTTAGAGTTGGACAGCTACAACATGTCTTGCGCACAGGCTGCAACGCTGGGTGCACCGGGTGCCGCGCAAGTTCCGAGACCTTCCAGCACTCGCCCACCTTCGCTGTGCGACCGTGTGGCCTTGATGGCATACAAGCTGAACCTCACAACTGAAAGCCAACCCCATCCGAAGAAGCTATATAATCTGTCAGATTCTGTGCATGGAAGGGGTGGATGGACTGGTGCATCACGCAGGAACATCAATACTCATCAATCTGAGACCCCGAAACTGGTCCAATCGGCATCATTTGGGGTCTCAAACATGTGGCGTTTGCATTGCTTGCCTTCCAGCGAGCTTGGACCGACTTTTGATTTCATTAGATGTTGTGGCGAGAAGACATTTCGAGAAGGTCCCACATGATTTTACATGCAAAGACCCAAATCCCCTAGCAAACAGCGTGAAATCTCTCCACAAACAGCGTGAGCCTTAGCGCGAAGAGGGCCGCGTTCTTGGTCTTCGCAGCCTCTCCACACTCCACCAGGCCACCGAGCACGTCATGGGCGGCAAATTGGCACTGCAAGAGCTCAGTGTAGGTCCTTGGGCGTGGAGGGTCCGCGCCCAAGGACGTGTGTTGAAACGTGTGGACCACTCCGGACTAAAAGGGCCCAAATAGGCTCAATAGACCAAAACCTCCAGAGTTTCCTCCTACGGGTCTGTTTGTACCTCCCTCCGGACACCCAGAGCTTCAAGTGCCCCGTTAGTTCCACGATGTTCCACGCCTGTGCTGCTCACAGCAAAGGGCAGACTCATTGGAACATTGAGGTTGTGCGGAAAAAGGGAACATAAAGGAACATCTGCTTCAATGCTCATGGTCAGTGACATTTCTTTCACCGTGAAGAAATTCAAGCCACCACAAAGGAATTGAGCAACAAAGGGGTCTGACACCTTCGCTTGAAGCTTACTCACCACGCCGTCAGTCTTCTCTTCCTCGCAAACCTCCTTCATCTTCTCCAACAGCTCGACAGCTTTCTCATTGTCTTTGTGCTGCTTCAATTCCTCGCACTTCTCCTGGCAGTATCATATTCCACCTGCATCGCCTTCATATTTCACCTTGTGTGTGTGTGTGCCGATAACGCTTTGTGTTTGATTGTCGCACTTCCACATAATCTTTTCTCTTGGCAAACTCGTCCGTTGTGCACCCATAGCTCCGGATGCCCCTTCATGCCCCTTCACCATCACCATCCTCTATTTCGTGCTCGGCTCGGACTCCTTGGTCATGTTGGCGACATAGAAGGTCAGCTCCGAGATTCCCGCCGCCTCATCCACATCCTCCGGGCCAAAGGCTTCTCTCAGCCGCCTCAGCATCCGCCGGCTGCGCTGGAAGCCATCCTTCTCCAAGACAGAGAGCCTCAGAAAGTTGCAAAGGCACATACCAAACGGCTCTAGCAGCTCTAGCAGTCTTGATCCCAAGGAAAAGATATAGTAACAAGTGCCTTACTAGTAGTAACAAGAAGCTAGTAGAAACTATGACTCTCCAAGTCACGATGACACTTCATCATACGGCGAACGCGCTGGCCGCACAGCACTGGCGGGAAGCCATGCAGCGCAAAGAGCCAGACAGCACCGGTACATCAGCGACAGCCAGATGGTGAACCGATTTCGCAGACCTTTTCTGGATCCCACGAGACCCTCCGAGACCGTCGCATCAAGCTCCGATCTGAAAACAACGACCAAGATCTTTAGATAGAAGGTATGACATGGTATGACCAGGTATAAGCTTCATATCACCACGAAAGACATTGTTTCCAAATTTGGTCCCTTCCTTCGGTTCTGACAAGGGCAAGCATTGTTCAGTCTCGGGATGTCTCGGGACCCAAAGACCCCAGCTTCACCGCTGGAACTAAGAGCCACATGCAGCGTCATCAAGCAAATGTTTGCTGGTTTGGTCCGGTGATGCATTACCCTGAGTTGATATCAATAATTATATTGATAACACATTGAATCATATTGATACCTAATCAATCCTAATCATTAGAAGCCTCAGTGAGGAAAGCCAGGGAGAGCTTATGGGGGGCTGCGCTGATGTAATCCAAACTGTTTTGGGCAGGATGGACTGAAATTTTCAATTGGAGCTGGCACCGCTCTGGCGACACAGATTGGATAGTACCCCTATGCAAACTAGCTCAGACGAGGATAACAAGTAAATTATGTAAGTGGCTGTAAGCGACTATGTGCTGGTGCAACGATACTATGATAGTACCACTACTGATGGAAGCACTGGATTAACGAACCCATTTTGCTCTGCAATACTAACCGCGAGTAACCGCCTTTGATCTGATCTCCATCTTCCAGATCATTTAGGTCGCTATCGATCGGGGGAGGTCATGGGGTGATGGGGTTTCAGTACGCAATAAGTAGGCGCTGCTGTCCCTGGCCTCTTGCTCCAACTCTGAAGCCCTTCTTTCGCGAAAGATCACCAGCTCCTGCATTGACCCAAACATTGGGACCAAACCAGCCGAGAATATGCCAAATAGGCTGTACGGCAAGACGTCATGGGACCGATGTCGGGCTCGACATAAAAAGACAATGAAATCCAAATTGATCCAAATTGTTGATTGCTGTAATATGTATTATATCAAATATATATTATATTAAAGATTATATAGATTAATATATTGTGTCATTGCTCACTTTCAGCGCTTCATAGTGAGGAACGGGCTTCTACTCCAAAGCCTCCAAAGCTTGTGCAGGGCCGAGGTCTGCTGTTCAGTTCGATAACTCTAATAAAACCGCTACTAGTAAGGCCTTAGCTCTTTCGTACCACTTGCTAGTAGAGAGCTGGATGTGCAAACCTCAAGGCCAAATGAGGTCATGTGAAGCCGCTGACTTACGACTTGGTCTCCTGCCACTGTGCAAGCTGCTCCTGCAGTTCAGCAACCTCTGGAGCTCCAGCAAGCCTGGTCGAAACATGACGTCAGCTGCTGGTGTTTTTGCAATCAGAGCAGGATTCTCTCGTGACTCTTGAGTCTCTTGTATAACACAGATAGATCTGCGCACCCTGTTTGACAGCCTGTTTGAGTACTATGCTTTCCGGAGAGAATCCTCGAATCCTTCGACATGCAAAGTCAACGTCGGCACCTTCCAACACCTTGCTGGAGCTTCTTCCACATCTTACGCTGACGTCGCCTCGGGAGCGCGGCGACATCTTTAGCTTATATGTATATATATATATATATGTGTGTGTTGGACTCTGTTGCAGAAGTAGAGGATCCCATCAAGCCATCAAGCATGACAGTTTTGCTGCCGGTAGGGTGATCAAATTGTTTGTTTTAGAGTCTGAAGTCTAGCGTCTAGGGGTTGCTTTATCTAGGTTCTGAATAAGTGGCCTGTGGGTTTGCATTTCGGAGTTGTCTTTTTGTGCTCTGCGTTGAACTTCCAGGCATCGCTTCTCTTGCATCAGCTCCGACTCCTGCAAAGAAATATAGACTAATGTAGACCGAACATAAGTGTTTAAAGCCATGCGCTGCAAAACCATTAAGCCAAAGAGCCCTAGATAGACTGGCTTTGTTTGCTCAAAACATCTGAACACTTAAGACCAAGACCTGCCTTTTCTTGTTTGATAGAAATAGGGTGGGCATCTTGAAACAGGAAAGGACTAATTATATAAGTCAATATAAGTCAGGTGCCACCTGGATATACCTGGATCACCAAACTACCAGGGTGGCAAAAAGAAAGCAGGTTCTCATGCATGGGCATCCCATAACGGACTTTAAACACCCAACTAGTGCCCAGTGCTTCTTGCGGGAGCCTCGCAAGAGCTGGTAAAGAAATGTCATGCTTGCCGACATGCCGCAAGAAAGGACTCTCGCTCCGGAGGCTGATACTCTTGACACGGTTTTGTGAATGTACTTGTCGACTGGAAAATGAATGAAAATGATGATGTTTCAAAAAGCTCCACCCCGTTGCAAGGTTACGAACAAGTAAACTGCAAAGAACACTGGCCCGTTCAGCGAGTTGCCCTGTCCTGAACTTTCAGCTGCATCAACCTTGCACATTCAGAAAAGCACAAAAAACGAAATCACTTGGTGCATCTTGGCCCTAGGAGCAAGGACGCTACTAGGGACTCCTGGCATCGCTACTACTAGGAGCAAGGACGCTACTAGGGGCTCCTGCAACATGACATCCCAGACTGCGTGGGTAAAGCAAATGTGACTCTGGCGGCGAGGAGCTTCTCATGCAGCTGGCTACATGCCATCCGCAGGTCTGATTCCTTGGTGGAAGACATGAGACAAACGCGTGCGTGAAAAACCTACCAGTATGACAGGACAAAAACAATGAGCGTTATATAAAACATTGAAAGGAAAACCAATCAATCGCTCAGTCAAGCAGTAAGACTCTGGGTCCAAGGCAGCCAGCCCGCAACTCACGCCTACAAGAACCTAGCTAAGGCTCGACCTCAAAAACAAAGACGAAGGACTGCGCCTCACTCGAAAGGTTGTTCAAGTGTTCAAGCATTATTCAAGCCGATTCAAGCCCTTCCCATGCTTGAAAACACACAAAGGATCACTCCCTGGCGAAGTCTCCCGACTTTCCCCATCCCTCATCTGAGCGTCTCGGATGATCAACCTCTCCAGCTCCAACTGCCGTTGGATTAAGAGGAGCTGCACCTTGGCGTTGCCCCGATGGCCTTGCGCTTCGTCCTCCTGAAGCGCAAACAGCAAAGGCACTTATTTAGGGGGGTGGACCCCAAAAGCACACGCCCAGAAAACGGAGAAGAAAGGGGATTGCTTTGCTAAGGATGACCCTTTCAGGTGGGTGGGTATTGGAAGAAAATTGCTCGAGATGGGACACTGCCGAAACAAACTCAAACACATAGAGAAACTGGAAGAAGTATTTGTTATATTGTGTTACCATAAACGATATCATTAATCTCAAGCCAATAGTTGTAGAGGCCATCACAAACCACATTTTGAGGACGGCTGCAAAACCTCGCAAGGATCCCAACTCCTCCACAGCCAGCATCTTCTCCTTGAGCTCTAAAGCCTCCTGAACTATCGAAACAGCGAGGCAGAGAGGGGCAGAGAGGTATATAGCGAAAACGCGGCAACCGAGGTTCTGAAAACACGGCAAAGGGTCCGTACAACACGTCGATCATTCGGACCGTGGAGGTTGGTTTGACCGGCCTAGGAGGTATGGCGAAGCCTCTTTGGTTCACAGCCTCTCTTCTCACAAATACGGAAGACCCCAGCAGGCAGCTCCAAAATCTCGCACTGAAAACGTTTCTCGACACTGCTCTGGTGACTCCTGGCTCCCATCTGATTCCCATGCAAGATCGGGATTCGGAGTGGCCATGGCTTCAGACGAACTCAAACAGCTGCGCCAGTATGCTTCCGATTCACCTGTCACTGGAAGACACCTGATTTACGCCAATACCAAAAACTGAGGATCACGGCATTTGTGAGGCACCTTGCTACTAGTAGCTAGAAGCTACTAGCTCCTGGCATTACTACTAGGAACAAAAAGCCACTAGCAACAAGGGCATTAGTTTGAAAAATCCAGTGGCTCAACTCTGCCGTCCGCACCCTGTCTAGTCCGAATGAAGTGCCTGAGCTCTTCTGGAAGAGCTTTGGCACCTGAACGGCCAGGACGGATGTGTGAGAGACATGGAAGGGCTAGCTGCATTGGATTCAATATCATAATATAACCAATATATAACCAATACAAGTAGAATAGATAGAACCCCTACGGCAAGCGGTGTGCAACTGTCTCTGCGTTCGAGTGACGCTATGATGCACCAAAACCTACCCGTATAGTGGCTCACCTCCAAGAAGGTACCACGAAAAAGGATATCCAAAGCAACTGGGTAGAGTTGCCTCAACTGTATATCATGATCCTTGCATGCGCCAAGCGTCGTCTTGTGAGCGAAGCGAAGCAGCAACTCAAGACAATGCGCGTCGGGAATAAAGGCATCAGCAAAGCACACTGGCCGGTAGGCACGTTATGGCATATATGCCCAAATAATGCAAGAGTCTGATACACATTATCCGGTTAAAGAAGACCCTTGGCCCTTCTTGTGGAGAGTCTTTTGGAGAAATTCAATGTCATGAATCATGACTGGATGGGCACATGGTCTAATGTCCGAATGCCCATAGCAAACAATTACCCGTTAAATCCCGTTAGTTTGTTTGTGTGGGGCGTCAGAAGAAGGAGGAAAGGAAAGGAGGAGTGCTCAGAAAAAAGAGGCCACACCAGGAGGGTTATCTAGCTGCTACAACTGCATTGGCATTCACGTTTCTCGAGCTTTGGCCAGGGCACTACGCTTGAAGCAAAGCCTGTTGTGAGGATTCTCGTCGCTGCACACCAGCGAACCTGCCATGATGTGGGCAACGGAAGGTGAGAAGCGATTACAAATTGATGTGTTGTTCTTGTTGCAGTAAGTATACCATGTTATGCGTCTGAAAGTGGTTGACTTAGGGGTGGGTCTGAAAAAGGACCAAACCCTTCCCCCCAAAGGAAACAAAACCAAACTAAACTAACGTGCCAAAGAAACCAAAACCAAAGCCTCGTTGTCCGGTGTGGAACAAGCTGCGCCGGCAAGACTCACCCGGTCGGCCAAATGAAGACCTTGGAGGTTGACAACTTCTGAGATCCGCCACTGGTTGCGACTCAGTAGAATTGACATGCATTGACACAAATTGACTTTTGCTGATTGACCATATAC